TCGACAACATCTACCGCCTCCAACTTTAATCATAATGAGACATTTAAGCACGTTAATTATGTGATCTTTTATATTGACCTCAATTCCTAAATTTACGAAAAACTTATTTTTTTGAAACAAAGCGAATTCGATGTACCTACTCGTATGTATTTGTTGTCAGTGATAATACTCATAGTTTTAACAGTATTCTGATCAAGCTGCTTGTGAATGAAATTGTCTACTGTTTTTTGTTGGGAAAACAATCTTGTAACAATACGGTCTAACTTTCCGTTGCCTAAGGTTAAATATTTAGCGTTGCAAAACAAAACACTAGCAGGTAAACAAATATTTTTAGAAAGTTATGTTTATATTAGTATTGAAAAAGTTCTATTTAGTTTTCCATATTTTCCATAGTCACTACGCATAATCCGGGGGCCATCTTTGGGAAATTCTTTATGGGTTAGTCAAAGATGGATCCCATTAAACGATGTCAAAGCGATAAAAATAATAACAATAATTTCCTTCTGACTAATTTGGGCCATGGCGGCTAATCTCACTGTGACTCACCAGATGCGCAGAAGATATTAGTGCACAAGAGTACTCGCAGACCCAAGGGCGTTCATTATTCCTATTCCTCTCAAAGTTGATAGGACGATACTTCGACACGACCGATGAGATTTAAGGCGCAGAACCAAAGGCTTTACGCTTTCTTTGAAGCACGGGTTGTAACATTCAATTCCCAACTCCGGACTGTCACTGTAGTTATCTTAATAGAAACACTCAACAACTAAACTCAACGTCCCTACCCGGACTCGAACCCAGGCCCTCCGAATCTGCAACCGTACATGTTAGCCACTAGACCACCAAGGCAGTTTAAAAGTATTATATATTAAATTATCCAGAGATGATAATGTCCTTAAAATCTTTAAGTAATTTATGAATTAGTTAGTACTCTAAAGTAATTACTTTCATTAGTTTCGAAAACAGCTACTAAGGAAATCTAATCCACTCCAGAGAAAAGCATCGAATGAAGTTCTCAGACTTATAATCAACTGATTAAAATAAAACCTAGCTATTTATGACCTGCATAAAAAGAAGAGTCACACTAAAGCCATCCTATACTTTTAGAAAGAGGCATAATTAAACATATCGATAAAAATCTAAAATTGTAAAATTAAT